TTTTTAATAGTATTGTTTGGTTTTGGGGTGTGAAGTTGTATAAATTTTTTATATATATTTTGGACACTGATCCTTTACCAAATATGTCATTTGCAATTATTTTCTCCCATTCCATAGGTTGCCTTTTAGCTTTGTTCATTGTTTCTTTCACTGTGCAGAAGCTTGTACTTTCACCTGGTCCTAATAGTTTATTTTTGCTTTTGTTTCCCCTTCCTCAGGAGACATACCTAGAAAAAAGTTGCCATGGCCAATGTTAAAGAAGTTACTATTTGTGTTCTCTTCTAGGATTTTTATGGTTTCAGATCTCACATGTAGATATTTCATCCATTTTGAATTTATTTTTTTTATTTTTCTGTATGGTATAAGAAAGTGATCCAGTTTCTTTCCTTTGCATGTTGCTGTCCATTTTTCTTAACACCGTTTGTTGAAGAGACAGTCTTTTCACATTGGATATTCTTTCCTGCTTTGTTGAAGATTAATTGACCATATAGTTGTGGGTTTACTTCTGGGCTTTCCATTCTGTTCCATTGATCTATTTGTCTATTTTTGTAGCAATACTATACTGTTCTGATTACTACAGCTTTATAATGTAACTTGAAGTCCAGAATTGTGATGCCTCCAGCTTTTTTTTTTCTTTTTCAAGGTTGCTTTGGCTATTTGGGGTCGTTTGTGGTTCCATACAACTTTTAAGATTGTTCTAGCTCTGTGAAAAATGCTGTTGGCATTTTGATAGGGATTGCATTAAGTGTGTAATTGCTTTGGGTGGTATAGACATTTTAACAATATTTGTTATTCCAATCCCCGTGCATGAAATATCTTTCCCTTTGTGTCATCTTCAATTTCTTTCATCACTGCTTTATAGTTTTCAGAGCACAAGTCTTTCACTTCTTTTTTAACCTTTTTCTCTCTCTGGTAAGGGTCTCACTGATATCTTATTTTCTTAAGCTCTGTGAATATCCTTATCATTATTTTAAATTCTCCATCAACCATGTTACGTATATCTGTCTTGCTTAGATCTCTGGCCATGGCCTTATCTTGTTCTTTCATTTGGGTTAAATTCCTCCATCCTCACATTTTATCTAAGTCTCTGCTTTCTCTTTGTTTAAAAGGCCAGTTATGTTTCCTGCCCCTGAAAGTAATAACCTTATGAAGAAGAGGGCATGTAGTGCCCAGGGCTTGGCACTTCAGAGAACGTCTCTGGTGTGTGCTGCATGCTCCTTGCCTGCTGCAGGTGGTGTTTGGTTTCTGGCCTGAATGTGGCAAGAGTGGCAAGGGGTGTGCTCTGGTCTGCCTGTGAAATGAGGCCTGTGTGCACCTCCACTGGAACTGAGGGCCTGCAAAACTCTCTGGTTGAGAGACTTGAGGTGGGCAGAGATTTTTGTTGGTCTGCTGGGGGAGTGGCCTGCTGAGCTGGGACTGAGGCAGGCATAACTGAGAAGAGCTAGTCCATAGGAAAGCAGGGGGCGGGGCTTGGTGTAAACAAGTTAGGCATCCAGTGTTAGCACTGTCCTTCTTCCTGTAGGTGGCTCTGTGTTTATACTGAGGAGTGGCAGGTGTGGGGGAGAAATGGTGCCAGTCACCTCCTTTGTTCCTGGAGAGGTGTCTCCCGTGAATGCTGCCTTTCCAGATGCACTCAGAGAAGAAAAAAGAGGGAATAATCTCTTCATTCTTCATTGTATGCCCCAGGCTCTTTTCAGATTGTTGTTCTGAAACTGTTTGCCCCCAGGATGTTTGCCTGCCTTCTCTCCTAGAGCAGTGTAGTGCCCTCTGGGCTCTTATACCAGCAGCCAAGCCCACTGACCTTTAGAACTCCAGGCTTTAAGTCCCACCAGTTGCTCCTACAACTCAATAGCAAAAAAAAAAAAAAAAAAAAAAATCCAAACAAAAATGGGCAAAGGATCTGAATAGACATTTATCCAGGGAGGACATACAGATTGGCCAATAGATGCATGAAAAGATGCTCAACATCACTAATTATTAGGGAAATGCAAATCAAATCCATGAGATATCACCTCATACTTTTCAGAATGGCTATTATCAAAAAGATAAGAAATATCAAGTGTTGGCAAGGTTGTGGAGAGGAGGGAACCCTCATGCACTTTTAATGGAAATGTAAATTGCTGCAGCCAGTATGGAAAACAGTATGATGGTTCCTCAAAAAATTAAATATAGAAGTACCATATGATCCAGTAGTTCCACTTCTGGGTATCAGGTATCTATCTGAAGGAAATGAAAACACTAATTTGAAAAGGTGTATGCACCTCTGTGTTGATTACAGTATTATTTACGATAGCCAAGATATGGGAACAACCTAAGTGTTCATGAATAGATGAGTGGGTAAAGAAGATATGGTATATATGTACAATGAAATACGGCTCAGCCATAAAAAAAAAAAAATGATATCTTGCCATTTGCAACATGGGTAGAACTTGAGTGTACTATGATAAGTGAAATAAATCAGACAGAAAAAGACAAATACCACATGATTTCACTTACATGTGGAATCTAAAACACAAAATTCAGGGTCCTAGATATGCAGAACAGATTGGAGATTGCCAGAGGTAACAGGGGTTGGGGGGGATGTACAATGGATGAAGGACATTAAGAAGCACAAACTTCTAGGTATTAAATAAATAAGTCATGGGAGTGTAATGTACAGCATGAGGAATATAGTCAATAATATTATCTTTGTAAAGTAGCAGATTATAACTAGATTATTTACTATCGTGACCATTTTGCAATGTAGACAAATGTCAAGTCACTATTGTACACGTAAAACTAATATAATATTGTGTGTCAGTTATACCCCAATAAAAAAAAAATACACACATTTGTAATCTCTGGGATTCAGGAACTTGCAGGTCTTACTGTACTTCTCCTTTAGAATAAACATTATAAAGGCTAAGAACACCTATATGTTTGAAGCTAATATATAAGCCATGTGTGTATATATTTATACGCAAGTAAAGAAAGTAATTCTCTTTTCTATATATTAAAAAAAAAACCAATGCCAAGATTTGAATGGATAGTCTTTGTGACTTTGAATGGTCTTTGTGTGTCAAGAATATTATTAAGAGTAGTCACAGAGAGCAAGACAGTAATTTAGACACTAAGAAACCTTAATGAAAACGAGGAAGTAAGTGAAAGGAGAGTAGTTGATTGCAATAAGGATATGAGTGGATGATACAACCTGAGGACTTGTGTTCCCATGTTACAAAGATGAAATATATACATATACTTCAATATACAGATGGATTCCTTCATTACTAGAAACAGAAGTGTGTTTTAGATCTGTGCTACAAATATTTCTAGATACAGATTTACTTGTCCCAGTTTTACCTGTTGTTTTAGAAATGTAAAGAAGTTGCTTGATTTCTTTTTTTTTTTTAATAATTTTTTTAAAGTGTTTTATTTATTTCTAGGAGAGAGAGAGAGAGAGAGAGAGAGAGGCAGCGTGAACAGGGGAGGGTCAGAGAGAGAGGGAGTCACAGACTGAAACAGGCTCCAGGCTCCGAGCTGGCAGTCAGCACAGAGCCCGACGCGGGGCTCGAACCCACGAACCGCGAGATCATGACCCAAGCAAAAGTCGGACGCTTAACCGACTAAGCCACCCAGGCGCCCCGAGGTTGCTTGATTTCTTATTTTAAATGTATGAGTGAATTTTAAATTGCTATTCACAAGATGCAAAGTTTAATTTCACTTGAATAGAGGGGCGGCTGGGTAGCTCATTTGGTTAAGCCTTTGACTCTTGATTTCAGCTCAGGCCATGATCTCATGATTCCTGGGTTCGAGCCCCACACTGGGCACTGAAGGTCAGTGTACAGCCTGCTTGGGATTCTCTCTCTCCCTGTCTCTCTGTCCTTCCTTGGCTTGCATGCTCTCTCCCTCAAAATGAATAAACATTTAAAAAAAAGTTTCACTTGAACAGATATGTGAGGATATTTGATGCTGCTCTGTCATTTTACTTACATAGATCTACTGTGCACATTAGATTTGCCATAGACTTGAAGCTCCCTGCTATTCTGCACCCATGTCATATGATATGGAAACATTCTTTCATGGTGAATTTTTATGAACATGTTGAAAAGTTTTAAATATATTCATTTGGGACGTATGATAAAACAGCATAACTAAAGTTTTATCTATAATTTTGATGAATAGTTTTAAATTGTTTTTTTTTTAACATTTATTTATTTTTTGACAGACGAGAGAGAGAAAGAACACAAGCAGAAGAGGGGCAGAGAGAGATGGAGACACAGAATCCAAAGCAGGCCCTAGGCTCTGATCTGTCAGCACAAAGCCCGTCGCAGGGCTTGAACTCATGAACCGCAACATAATGACCTCAGCTAAAGTCAGACACTTTAACTGATTGAGCCACCCAGGCACCCCTTCATGAATAGTTTTCAGTCTAGTTTGGGGGCCTGATACAATCCTGACAGGTGAAGTAACAATTTTATTATTAAATGAAGCTAACATTATTTTGGCTGTGACTTTTACATTTTGCTTAACAAAATAATTGTCATAATTATTTCCTTACAATTTGAACATAAACAAAACTATACAAGTCTTTTATTTGGCACATTTATTTTGAGACTCCTTTCATATTGTGGACATAACTAGGTTATTTTGTTAAGTAGTCCTTTTATGGTTTTATTTTTACCAGTAATTGATATAATGATCTAATATTCACCATGCTATAAAAAGAGTATATATCAGGGGCGCCTGGGTGGCTTAGTCGGTTAAGCGTCCAACTTTCGCTTAGGTCATGATCTCGCGGTTCGTGGGTTCGTGCCCCGCGTCGGGCTCTGTGCTGACTGCCAGCTCAGAGCCTGGAGCCTGTTTCAGTCTGTGACTCCCTCTCTCTCTGACCCTCCCCTGCTCACGCTGTCTCTCCCTATCTCTCCTAGAAATAAATAAAACATTAAAAAAAAAAATTTAAAAAAAAAGAGTATATATCAATATTGATTTTATAGTTAATAAAATATTGATGCCAAGCAGAAGGTCATTGAGGAATCTTTATAGACATTAAGTGATAAATCGACACACGTTGTGGAATCAAAATTGTACATGCACAGTGGAACACTCATCATGAATTCTACTTGATGTTAAAATACAAGAGAAATCACCAAGTAAGTAGTAAATAGAAAAATGTTTAAACATCTTCCTGTGGGTCTTCTTCTATATTTGGGTGCATTTTCATTACTCGGTGTATAGGAGTCTTAACAGAATCATAGCTCCATCCCTTCCTGGTAAACAACCTTTCAAGAAAGCCTGGCATCCTGTAGCCCTTGAGTTGAATGAAATCTTTAAAGGCAATTGTTCCATAAAGGTCTTCAATAATATCCTTTTCAGGAACATTCAGACTCCCATCTTGAGCTTCAAGTAAGACCTTGGGGTCAATCAAAGGTTCATCATTTATTAGCTTTTTCCACAACTTGGGCTTCAGGTACCATGCTCCATACCTTATTTTCACCCAGTTGGGTTTATAAGGGCTCTGCGGTGGCTGGAGTTTCTTCTCCCAGTCTTTCCCCTGTAAGGAGAATCTTATGCCCTCCATCTCATCTAGCCCCTTCCTGTTCTTTAGATCCATAGGAACCTGGTTTAATTTCTTCAGGCAGACCATTTCACGGGATAGTTTGCACTCATAGCCAATGTCAAACAGTTTCATGATGAACTCTTCATCAATGCCCATGTCTCCGAAAGTAGCAACCCACTTGCAGAATTTACGAACTCCTCTTGGTATTTGTCTATGAATAGGAGGAATTTCGAGCAAATCATTTGTGCTTGAGCTCTTTTCTTCAAGAGGCACTTTGTCTGGATATGACCCAGGAGTCTTCTTGGGAAATTCAACTTTGACAGGACGTTTCTTACTAAGCTTTGTGGGAGACTTCTTTTTTTTCTCCGTGTTCTCACAAGAAGCCCAAGTGGCCTCCAGTTTCCTGTCAGGATCCAGCACTTTCAGAACCTTTAGTAAGAGGTCTGCAGGTAGATTTTTCTCTAGACTTGGATAGAAAGCCAAGGGATGCTCAGTCAGGTGGGCTTCAGTGTCCTCCATGAATGCCTTCCTTGCTAGCTGGGCTGGTGAGAGTGTAGAAAATGGGTCTGCTTCCTTGGTCAGCTTTTTATGACTCTTTGTTGGGGCAGGCTGGGGAACTCTGTGAGCAATGATGGGGAGAAAGCCCTCCTTAGGGCTGCGAGTAATCAGATCTTCACAAGGTGGACACCCCCTCCTGAAGTCGTCCAGCCCCTCTTTCACAAATATCCACCTCCGGCTGTCCAAGGAGGTGGGAAACTTCAAAACGTTGTTCTTGTGCTTTGCAAAACACTTGGAAGGTAATTTGTCTTTGTACCAGGGCTTGCAGGTCATGCCCAGGGGCATTGGTTCCAGCGGCCCTGGGGCTAACAGCCACTTCTTGTTCTCCATGGTACCTCTAGCCCCTGGGCGACCATCAGCTTCAGTGATTTGTTTTCCGGTTGCTAGGCGACCTCTGTAGTCAGGCCCCCAGATTCTTCCCGGGGCTGGGGGGGGGGGAGGGGGTCCACGCATTTGCCTCTTGGCAGCCAGCTTTCTCCTAGAGTGGGTGCCGAAAGTTCATTCCTTTCTGTTTAAGGGTACTATTCTGTTATATGGGCGTACTCCACATTTTATTTATCCATTCACCTTTTAATGGACCTTTGGGTTAATTCTAATTTGAGGCTGTTACAAATAAAGCTGCCACAAATATTTGTGTTCATGTCTTTGTACATCATTTCATTTCTCTTGGGTAAACATTAGCAGAAAAAGAAATAGCAGAGGCATATGATAAGTGTTTGTTTAACATTTTAGGAAACCGCCAAAGTTTCTCCAAGGGGATGTACTATTTAATATTCCTTCTAGTAGTGAGAATTGCTCTTCGTCCACATACTGCCCAATACTTGCCATGATTAGCCATGTTAATTTTGGCTACTCTGATATGTGTGTAGTGATATCTCACTGTACTTTTAATTTGCATTTCCCTAATGACTATCCGTTCATGTGCTTATTTGCTATTTCTCTCTCCTGTGGTGAAGTGTTGGTTCAAATTTTTTATACGTCTTAAAATTGTATTGCTTTATATCATTGAGTTCTGAGTTCTTTGTTTATTCTGAATGTAAGTCCTTTATCAAATATATGATTTGTAAATTTTTCTCTCAGTTTTTTCTGTTTATGGCTTATGTTTTCATGGTCTTAACACTGTTTTTCAAAGAGCAGAGTTTTGATATTTGATGAAGTCCTCTTATCAGTTTTTTTTATGGATTGTTCTTTTTGTGTTATATCTAAGAAAGCTTTCCCTACACAAAGGTCATAAAGGTGTTTTTCATTCTGCTAAATTTTGTAATCTTAGTTTTTACATTTAGATCTGTCCTCTATTTAAATTTAATTTTTTAGGTGATGCAAAATATGGATCAAAGTTTTTATTTTTTTTATTTTATTTTTTTGCCTGTGGATATCCCATGGTTCCAGAATTTTTTTTAAGAATCTTTTTTTTAAAGTTTATTTACTTTGGGAGAGAGAGAGAGCTCGCGCACACGCATTTGCCTGAGCAAGTTTGGGATAGAGAGAGAGAGAGAAGGAGAGAGAGAGAGAGAGAGAGAAAATTCCAAGAAGCTCCATGTCATCAGTGTAGAGTCAACACAGGGCTCAAACCGACAAACTGTGAGATCATGACCTGAACTAAGAGCAAGAGTTGGATGCTTAACTGATTGAGCAACCAGAATTTTTTTTTTTGAAAGAATATCTTTTCTCCACTGAATTACCTTTATAATTTGGTAGGTGTAAGTTGTCCATATTTCTGAGGGTTCATTTCTGGATACTTTTCTGTTTCACTGCTTTCTCTGTATACCAATTCCACACTGTGTTGATTACTTTGTATTTTATAAGTCTAAAAATAAGGTTGTATTCGTCTTTCAAGTTCTTTTCTTCTTTTACAAAGTTGTTTTGACTCCTCTAGGTCCTTTGAATTTCTATAGGAATTTTAGAATCGGTTTGTCAGGGTCTATAAAAAAGCCTGTTGGGATTTGGATTAGGATTTGGTGGGATCAATAAATCAATTTTGACATCTAATATTGAGTTTTCTTACCCATGAAAAAAGTCCAACTCTCCATTTACATTTGTTCTTTCATTTATCTCAGCAATATTTTGTAGTTGTTAATGCATAGTTCTTTCACATCTTTTTTTCTCTAGGTTTTCCTTAATATTTTGTTTTTTTGATACTACTGTAACTAGTATTGTAATTTTTAGTCACCATGTTCATTGTTAATATATACAAAAATAATTTATTTTTGTGTATTAATCTTATATCACGCAACCTTTGTAAACTGACATCAATTTTATAGCTTTTTTAAAGTTTATTTATTTATCTTAAGAAAGAGAGAGAACATGCAGGAGGGGCAGAGAAAGAGGAAAAGAGGGATAATCCTAAGCACACTCTGCACTGTCTGTGCAGAGCCCAGTGTGGGACTCAAACTCATGAACCATGAGATCATGACCTGAGCTTCTGAAACCAAAACTTGAATGCTTAACCCCACAGAGCCACCTGGGCATCCCATTTAGTATCTTTTTTATTTTTTTTTGTGAAGTCCATTGAATTTTCTATATGGAGAATCATGTCATCTCTTAATAAATATAGTTTCACTTCTTCCTTTCCAATCGGAAAAACCTTTTTCCTGGCCTTATTGCACTGGCTAGAACCTACTTATGTTGATTAGAAGTGATAAGAGCAGAAATTTTTGTATTATTTTTTTTAATTTTTTTAATATTTATTCATTTTTAAAAGATAGAGAGAGAGCATGATCAGGGGAGGGGTAGAGAGAGAGGGATAGACAGAAACCAAAGCAGGCTTCAGGCTCTGAGCTGTCAACACAGAGCCTGACACAGGGCTTGAACTCACAAGCTCTGAGATCATGTCCTGAACCAAAGTTGACCACTTAATCAACTGAGCCACCAGGTGCCCAAATTTTTGTATTATTTCTGATCTTAGGGGGAACGCCATTAAGTGTGATGCTAGCTTTAGGTTTTTTTATACATACTGTTTTTCAGTTTAAGTTCTTTTTATTCCTAGAGTTCTGAGGCCTAGTGACAAATACTTTGTTTCAGATACATGGATTGTGTCAGATGCCTTTTCTGCACCCACTGAGATATTCATACAACTTTTACTTTCTAAAGTAAAGTTTGCTGGGGTGCCTGGCTGGCTCAGTTGGTTAAGCGTCCGACTTTGGCTCAGGTTGTGATCTCACGGTTTGTGGGTTCGAGCCCCGCATCAGGCTCTGTGCTGACAGCTAGCTCAGAGCCTGGAGGCTGTTTCGGATTCTTTCTCTCCCTCTCTCTCTGACCCTCCCCTGCTCACGTTGTCTCTCCCTCTCTCTCAGAAATAAATAAAACATTAAAAAAAATAAAGTTTGCTAAAATAATAAATAACAGTAATTTCTGTGTGGCAAAAATACTTTGAATTCCTGAGATAAACCCCACCTGTCCTTTGTATTTGTTGTTAGATTAAATTTGATAAAACATTACAAACATGTATCTGCATCTCTGTTTATGGGGTTTATCTGGTGTTTCTTTTCCTTTAATGCGTTTGTTTAGCTTTGTTATCAGGGTTATGCTGACATCATAGAATGATTTGGGAAGTATTCCATGGCCTCCACTTTCTGAAACTATACGATTGGTGTTGTGTCTTTTCTTAAATATTTTGTAGAAGTCATTAGTGAAGCCATCTAGGCTTGAAATTTTCTTTGGGGGAAGGTTTTTGTTTTCTGTTTTTTTAATCTGCAAATTGTTTCTCTAATAGCTATAGAGATATTTCGATTATCTAATTTTTCTTGAATGAGTTTTGGTTAGTTTGTATATTTCAAGTAATATGTTCGTTTTATTTATATTATCAAAATTATTGCCATAAAGTATCCATACTATTTCCTTATTGTCCTTTAAATATCTATGGAATCTATGGTAATGTCACCTCTTCCATTGTTGATTTTTGTAGTTCATATCTTCTTTTTTCCTTTTCTTCCTAATCAGACCAGATACAGAATAACACAATTTATTGATCTTCTTAAATAAAGATTTTAGTTTCATTGATTTGTCCCATTATTTTTTGTTTTCTCTTTGATTGGTTTCTTCTCCCAACTTTGGTCTGTTGTTGTGTCACCCTTAATGGTCTGTTCATGGCAATCTACAATGCTTTTTGCAGCATGCACCTCAAAACTCTTCCAGCCTCTATTCATTACCCAATTCCAAAGCCACTTCCACATTTGTAGGTATTTGTTACAGCAGCAACTTACTTCTGGTACCAATTTCTTAGTCCTTTCAGGTTGCCATAAAAGAACATCCTGCACTGGGTGGCTTATACACAACAGAAGTCTATTTCTCACAGTTCTGGAGGCTGGGAACTCCAAGTTCAGGTACAGGCAGATTCGGTATCTGGTGAGAATCAACTTCCTGGTTCATAGACACCCATCTTTTCCTGTGTCCTCACATGGCATAAAGGCTTAAGAATCTCTCTAAAGCCTCTTTTATAAGGGCATTAATCCTATTCAAGGGGGCTCCACTCTCACGACTTAATCATCTCCCAAAGGCCTTATGCCTAAATATCATTATACTGGAGATTAAGTTTCAACATACAAGTTTGAGGGAGACATAGTTAGCCTGTAGCATGTGGACGTTCATTAACTTTTATATATTTTATAACCTCCACACTACTTTTTGAATTACTTTGGCTTAAAGACTATATCACTCTTAAATAGAGTTTAACATAAAAACATTTACCAGGGCACCTGGGTGGCTCAGTTAAGCATCTGACTCTTGGTTTTGGCTCGGGTCATGGTCTCATGGTTCAGGAGATAAGCCCTGCATCGGGCTCTGCATGGCAGCATAGAGCCTGCTTGGGATTCTCTCTCTCTGCCCCCCCCTCCCCGCCCCTCTCTCATGCTCACTTGCTCTCTCTCTTTCTCTCTCAAAATAAATAAACATTTAAAAAGTATTTACCCATGTAATGATCAGCTTCATTGTTCTTTACTCCTTGGTTTAGATCAATATATCTATTGTATCATTTTCCTTCAAGGAAAAGAAAAATATACTGTACCATATGTCTCCTGATGTTGAAATTGTTCCTTTCTTACATACTTGAATTTTGTTCTTATTTTGCCTTGTTTTTTTTTTTTTTAAAGATTTTTTTAAATGTTTATTTATTTACTTATTTTGAGAGGAGGGGGGCAGGGTCAGAGAGAGAAGGAGAGAGAATCCCAAACATAAGGCTCCATCTCATGACCACAAGATTACCTGAGCCAACATCAAGAGTTGGATGCTTAATCGACTGACCCATCCAGGTGCCCCATTTCAGAGACATTTTTAAAGATATATCCTCTGTGTATAGAATTCTGGGATCATAGTAGGTTTTTCTTTCAGTACTTTAGAAAACGATGGCTCCAT